GAGTTATTTTTTTTTATTTATGAAAAATTGTGTTAAAAATAAAATTTAGTCAGTTCGTCTCTTATATAATGCAGAAAACGTATTAGAGAATGGAATCAAAATGTTAAAACCTAGACATCAAACTATAATAAAATTAATTATGAAGGCGCCCAAAATGTAATGGTCGTATTTGGAAATTAAGAATATACATACTTTGCGCAACTTTTATATCATCGGGATTAATTTAATTATAGAAGTATAACAAAAAATAATATTTTAAATTAGATAACATTAATTAGAGTTACATAATGTAGACTCATGTAGAGCAATAATATAGACAGATAGGTACACAGAACGAAATATTTCACTTGCCTTCAACTGGAAACAACGAAATTTAACAGAACAACTTTTACATGTGAAAATCATCAAAACAGGATAAATATGATTTCTCTTTGAAATGTTTTGATTTGTTTGAAAATATTTACTCATGTTATTTGAGGTGACAGATTTGTTTTCATCTAAAATGGAGATCTCGCGTCAATCAAGTAAATGATCATGACAAATGAGGATTATTTTGTAAGTTGTCAGTTTTTCTTGTGTCCTTACTCTTGTCTTCATTTTTGAAATCCTAATTGTGTACACAAATAGTCCACAATGTACATTCTTTAGTGGGCTTTCGGCTAATTCTTTAGTCATTTTCAAGGATAATTTAAAGAGACGAAGAATCGTTTACTAGAAAAAAAATTCCTTGTAGATAGCAAAGATATATTAAAAACAACTAGTGGTAAAAAAAACGTGTGAACATCTTAAAAGCACTTCTAGTAAAAAGCAACACGCCCATTCAAAATAGTATGAATTTCGAAAGTAGCCAGGATATCTTGGTTTTTGGGAAATTAAAGAAAAAAAGTAAGTATGAAATGGCTACTACATTCGCACACAACAAATATAGAATTTTTTTCACAAAGAAAATTAAACGCTAATTATAAAATAGCCAATAAATTAGTATATCCGGTCGGCACTATAAATGCTATCGAAAATTCCTCGATACACAATGAAAAACTATTAAAGAATATTCCTTATTTGTCATATTCAAGTAGCAAACATATATATATATATATATATATATATATATATATATATATGTGTGTGTATATATATATATATATATATATATATATATATATATATATATATATATATATATATATATAGAATAATTTGTTGGTGATCGGTGTCGACCCGCAAAAAAAAAAATCCTTCCTTCTCCCGCAATGATAAGACTGTTTTCAGATACTGAGGTTCTGCCAGTTAATATAGTATTGGACTCTCTTTCTCCGCTGTGCATCTGTAGTAGACGCTTTATATATATATATATATATATATATATATATATATATATATATATATATATATAGCGTTAGCAGGACTCCTTGAAAAATGCAAATTATCAGGCTTTTTTTGTGTATGTGTAAAACAGTTCACCCAGTCACCAAAAATCTGCTCTGAATCTCTATCTATAAAAGGCAGGATGTATGTGTGTGTGTGTGTGTGTGTGTGTGTGTGTGTGTGTGTGTGTGTGTGTGTGTGTGTGTAACGAATGCACGGCTGCAATTTTCGACGGATTTGCACCAAAATTTACATGCACATGCGGGAAGGACAAGACTGACTTTGCATTTCCCAACTCCCATCGATAGTGGAAATAATCGATTTTTCATGCTTCTACGGCAGTTTTCATGTAGTTTGCGGCCATTTTCTACTGGCCAGAGTGAGAACCTATAGCTGGCTGCCACGAATAGACAGGAAGATTCTATTGGCCAGCGTGAGAGCCAACGGCTGACTGACACGAATGTTAACTAGCATGCTAGCATGCAAAAAAAATCGATAGCTGCATTCATCACAAGTGGGAAAAATTTAAATCTGCATGGCACTTTACTCCAATTGGCTTATTCGCTAGCTTAAACTCAACGTTGATTCTGATTCCGCAGAACTGGGTTATGTGTGAAAAAGTATTTGTTGTTAACATTCTTTTTTCATTCGGTTTTTCCATTTACGAGTCCTTTTTTTAAAGCTGATCGTTTTGTGTTCATTTTTTTAGTTCTTTTTTCGTAACAGATTTAATGTTTAGGATAGAGCTTAGAAAAAATTTGCAGTGTGAGATAGGCAAGAAGTAAGGCTTGTAGCAACATCAGCACGGAAAGGGCACTCCTTTAAAGGCAATGAAGGGCAAAAATATTTTAAGTCAATCGATAGCGATTGCTGTATGAGTCGTACGATTTTTGAATCAAGCACGGGCAACGCCGGGCCATGCTGCTAGTACAACATATTCTCAGATAACAGTGCAAAATACTTATATTGAATGTTCTTGTATGCAATATTTTCAATTTCTTTAGACTGTTTCTTAATACTTTGGATCATATTGAATATATACAGCTGCTGAATATTGAATTTACTACCCCCCTTAATCTCAAGCCAACTAATTGCATATACTTCAGTATTGAATTTGATAAGTTGGTGAAACTTGTCTTCACGATTCCCGTTCACATATCCTTGCCCAGAGTCATCCGAAAATTCGGTAATAAAATGCCTGTGCTACTTGTCGGCCTTGTTTTTGGAATCCCAGCATACATCCATTCAGACCGAGGAATATCGCTCAGGTCAGGATAACTTAGGCAATTTCTCTACAGACAAGGGGGCGGTGCTGTAAGTCGGACTACGCCGTATGAAATGGGCAGTGAGAAAAATTCAATGTCATTATTTGGAAAATTCATTCAGTTGGCTACAGCGAATCGAAAGTGCGCGATCACTGACTGGGAAAACCTCTCAGAATCCCTGAACGCTATTCGAACCCTGTTGTACACTGCAACGAACGCAACACCACACGAAAGGTTTCTACTGTTACACCGTAGAACTTCACGAGGAACCTCACTCGCTTCATGGCTATCGTAACCTGATACAGTCCTGAGACGCCACGTTCGTCACAGGGAAAACGACCCGCTCGTAAACGAATTCAAATTTATACATGTAAACGCGCGCATTACGCATTCGTCCAGCACTTTGCCTGGAGACGAGATACTTTCAACGACATGTTTGAAAGATTTGACCGCTCCGGGAGACCTCTTTCCCCGAGACATCAGGCACGGATCTGCTACGAGAACAAATGGTCCAATATGACTTTAGCTCTGACGAGGAATTAGCACTTAAAAACAGAGCCCACTACTATTTCAAATTCAGACGCAGAGTGGCTTAGAAATGGAAGACTACGTAAGCACTTCAAGCCGAAGGTTTATACTTCAAAGCCGGGTAGGCAAGACAAACATGGGAGAGTAAGCTCAGACGCGTCAATGTCACAGGCGGCTGTGAACTGCGAAACACTACTAAACATTACTTCATCCCGTACAAGTAACCAGCGGGAGAGAATGTGGTATGGATTATCTTCCCTTATAGATATTCTGTATTTAATTTGCAGAACGCTTTAAATTTTCGTGTGCATTTATATGCAGAACGTTTTTTATTTTATTTTGCAGAACATTTTAAATTTGTGTGTGCATTTATGTGCAGAACCTTTTTTATTTTATTTTGCAGAACATTTTAAATTTGTGTGTGCATTTATATGCAGAACTTTTTTTATTTTATTTTGCAGAACGTTTTAAATTTGTGTGTTCACACTCCATTCTAAGTTGAATAGTTGTATTTTGGTACATGTAGGATTGGGATGTAATAGACAATTTCATGTGGTAATTGAGTATATTTTATTGAATGAATGTATCCTGATTGCGACTAACTAGGAATAGGATAGTTAGTGAAAGACCAGACTTTCCTCACTTTCCTCTGACCTTGTGCCACAATTTTGTATTTTTATACGAAATAAATATATTCTAAGTTGAATTGTTCATTCCCATTTGGATTTTGGTCGATTATCTGCCTGACAAGACAAAAGTTTTGTTTTTGCTCTGACCGGAGAGATTTATCTTTTGTGAAAGACTTGTGTGGAATTTCAGTAAAGGCTTTTCTATTTTTGTTTCTTACGTTTTTAGAGTAGTTTGTTAAATTTCTTAATTTTCTTTCTTTTTTTTTTTTTTCTGTAAGCCATTTTTTTCAGTTTAAATCTTCCCTTGTTTTGTTTTTTCGGCCATTTTCTTTGATTTTCTTAAGTAACTCTGCACTTTATTTTTTTACATGTCTCCTTTTATTATTTTTTCCATTGTAATTTGGGTTTTGATTTTTCTTCTTACGTTGTTTATGTGTATCGTTTAAATTTTTGACCAAGTTTCTTTTGCGTATGTGATTGTTTTGTGAACTGTTTTTTTTTTTCTGTGTGTGGCCCTGGCTAAAATGGCTGAGTCTCCTCAGCAGCTGGAGCATCCAGCCACTGTGAACCCCCCCCCCTCGGCGTCGGCGGCGGACAGACCCAATAAAAACGGGTCGGATTATTATCAGGCGGTACAGAAATGCAAGTACTATATCTCTGACAACCAACTCTTAACTATCCCACCCCGCCTTGGAGACAGATTCCAAAAAGACGATTTGGAGGCAATGGAGAAGGCTTTAAAGATCAAATGCCATGTAGTACATCCTGCTGGCAAATGAAGTCAAAGCAAGTTCCTTGGCTGGTAACATCCTCTCCAGTAAATCCGTGAGGATGCAAACGGAATACATGGACAGCCGCAGGACGCGGTTTACGTTGCATAGGATGCCAATGGATATCGAAGACGACCACTTGAGGAGGATTTCTTTGCTAGGTATGGAAAAGTTTGGGATGTCGCATCACGGAACAGCCAAGCTGGCATTGCAACCAGGGATTTTGTTCTTCAGGTGACAATGACCTCTAGATGCTTCTTGGACATCCCCGATACTATAAATTGTCGAAGATCTTGGTTATAATAGAGAGACGTTGACTCCACTGCTTGTCTACGGGGCACATGTCAAAAGAGTTCCTGGCAAGAACAGAGTGCCACCGGTGGAACTAACAACATCCAAGGAGGTAGTGGGGCCAAAGAATTACGACCAGACTCACAATTGCCTCAGCGGATGGAAAGAAGTAGTGAGGAGAGAACAAAAGGCTGGAAACCCTCCTCCCCAGAAGGATGTCCCACGGTCAACGAATCAGCAGCCAAAAAGAAACTACAATAAAAATCGACAACAACAAAAGCCACAAATCAAACACGAGAACAGCTGCAACAGGAGGTGCCAGAACAGTAACAACATCAGCAGCAGCAACAGCAGCGGTCAAAGAAACAGCAGAAAAATCAGCAACAGTAGCAACAGCAGCACCAGCAACATCAACTCCAAAAGGAGCTGAAAGAACAGCAACAAAAACAGCAGCTTCAAAAGGATCTGCCGGAACAATTGCAACAGCTGCAACTCGAACAAGAGCAGCAAAAACATCCGATGAGTTGCCACAGCTGGACCGTTACATAGAGGTGGCGGATATGCCTCCACTTCGTTCCTGCTCTATGAAAAGGCGGAGAGATGAAGAAGAGGAAGCGAAAAAGACAAACAAAAATGAAAACAGACAGGGCGGAACGGGCCACGGAAATAACAAATCTCAAACCCCTCCTTTGCCAGGCATAAAAGTTACGGTAAGGAGCCTCCCGGTTTTATCTCTCTAGGGCTCCACCATCTCCCTTCCCAAACCCAACCCCCAAAAAAGAATGGTTTCCCAAAGAAGAAAACCATCTGTTATGTGGATCGACAGGTCCTCGAGGGGGACATTTCCTCGCAGAGGAGGATCATTTTGAGGTCGTTACTTTAACTGGCCGCTGTCGACGGTAAGGAATTTCCCGGGAGCTCCTGAGGTTATTAAACTCATAAGAAACTCTAGCGGCAAACTGAAGGTGTGGGATTGTAAAATTACAGCTTGTTTATTTTTTCGATTTCCGAGATATTGAAACTCGATATTTTTGACCAACTCGTCTACCGTGAAATTATTAATGTCCATCGAGATTCCGAATCATTGTTCGTTAAGGACACATTTTCAAAAATCAGGATAGCGCAAGTTCAGTCATCCGAACTTAAAAAAATATCAAATCTGTGATCTGGGAGAGCCTCGGTGTTGCTCCACACATTATAACACGGAGACCTTAAACTAACATTCCCTACGGACGTCGGCCAGGTTATCTCGGACAGATGAATTACGTCTGATATGTGTACTGGCTGTGTGGAACAATCTGTTCGGGTCTTGACACCCGACGATTTCCGACCAGTCTGCTTATAAAGGATAAACTTTGAAAATGTCGAGCTAGCCATTTTCTGAGAGATCGGAGTAGAGAGGTCGCCTGCTTCGTGATCCTTTGTTCTTCGGCTGAAATGTGACCGCGATCCAGGAGCCATTTCTATTCACTTTATTTTTTAGCATGGAAAATTCCAGCTTGTTTATTCATTTCGATTTCCGAGATATTAATTAATTGGATTTTAATTTCCTGAAATAGAATCGAAATTTTAACGAAAATATTTTATGTGTGGTTTTATAATATCCTGCCCCTAGCCATGTCCAAGAGTGTGGTTTAAAATCGACCTACCCAAATATATATAAATGTTGTGACCAATTAAATGGTTAAAGAAATAACAAAACACGTTTTAGAAATATATCATTGTTAGGGGACCTTACCCATAATAACATAATGGACTATTCCATACGTAATAAATACTGCGCCCCAAGAGGAAGCAGAGAGTTCAGTCTGAAGTCTGGAGTGAAGTCCGTCAGGAGTCTGCCAGTCAGAGCGAGCGAGTCAGTCAGTCCTGTTCGTAATATATCATTCCGAAACAGAGTCGCGTTCAGACAATTTCTACTAAACCTGCTTGCTCGTACTAACACTTTTCTACCTCTCTGTATATATTCCTGTTTGTAATATATCTGTGTTATTCCATATCCGTATTCGAGTTCTTCTTTATTGGTTCTACCTTGGACTATCACCGTGGTACAATGAACCGGACCATAACAATCATATATTAAACAGTAAGTACAACAGAAGAGTATTACACGACTAGCGAGTGTGTCGGTTGACCCAGCGTTCAATCTATTCGACTGCTTCCCCAAGGCCTACTCTCCTACTAATCCTATAGTAGGCGGAAGATCCAACATATACTCTTTAGAGGGAGAACACCACAACAATAAATATATATGTAATGTGTAGGTATCTGTCAGTGGGTGATGTTGATACATCTAGTTTGACTTCATTTTTAACACACGAAATACAACAAACTCATTCACACAATGTTTTTATTTCATTTTTAATCTGTTTTCTTTTTCCTGCTTACGCAAACAAGTATGAAACATTTCCTTAAAAGAAATGCCGTCAGAGACAAAATTACGAAACCAGCCAAAAAAAGAACGGCCAAAATATCTAACATCAAAAACTGATACAACGGAATGTCTTGAAGCTTTGATCTTAAATGATCGCCTCCATATTTCAGGATCTCATTTACAAGACGGGCTACTCTGGCCGATGGGAGATCTTGCGATCGAAATATTTCGCTCATCTTTGCAATTTTTTTCTTATATTTTGGATTCTCAATGACTTCCTTGGTATTTCTGACCAACTCGTCCACTGTGAAATTATTAATGTCCATCGAGATTCCAAATCCTTTCAGTTGCATGTCCTGACTATTAAACGGTTCATCTGCAACAATTGGTAGTCCAATCATGGGAACAGCGTGGTACAAGCTTTCATATTGACCGCTGTTGCCACAATGGGTAATAAACAATTTAGTTTTTTGATGGCCAAGAAGATCGTTTTGCGGCAGCCATTTTGTTAGTAGAACATTTGAGCGGGAATAAGAAGAATTTGAATGTTTCCAGACGACATCGAACTTAATCTTACCGAACGCTACTTCCATTTTTTTTTCGGAAATGTCCCAATTGATAAGACTTCCTGATGATACAACGATGACTCCATTTTTAGAAGCGGTAACAAATTCCAAGATTTTTCCTTTCAGAGGTCCTGCCGACTGTGTAGCTATTCCTCCAATGTATTTGACATTTGGAAGAGCTGGTAACGCTGGATTTAGAAAGTGATCCGAATCGACAATGTACAGTTGAGCTTGTCTTAGGAGTTCGTCAAAAGAAATACCCGGGTGTTCGGGTGCATAGTCTTTTATATTTCTACCCGGGGAACCAATTGCTGGTTTCAAGTAATCCAGAAAATTAGTTAATACCTTTCTGATTTTCATCGAAAAAGATGATATCTGTGCTTGGCCGAGAGTAATGTGCGGAAAAACTGAAATTGCCCAAGGTGTTCGGTGAATATTGAACTGGTTGTGCAATCCCTGAAGTAGGAAGGGAATTCCGAGTCTGTATGCGAAAACAGTTAAGAAGTTGCTAGCGAAATTAGCATCGACAACAGCGAGAGACGCATTTAAAGATTTCAACTTCAGGAAGATTTCTTCGTCTAAAAGATAACGATCACAGAGTTTATGAAGAGCATCAATTGTTTCTTTAATTGGAGGATTACTTCGGAATCTTAATACTTCCGTTATCAGGTCTCTAAATGTCTCAAATTCTGGGAAATCTTCGACTGTGACGAAATTGATTCCTTTTTTCACTTGACTGAATTTCTCTTTGAATTTCTCCGAGATTATGATGTAACTGGTGTGTCCATAATTGGTCAAGTCTCCAGCCACTTTAACCATCGGATTGACATGTCCAAAGTAAGGCAGGGACAAGAAAAGTATATTCTCCGCGCTGGTCAGTCGATCTGAAAGAATGGCAACAGTTAAGAGTTGAAATAATTGTGCCACTTTCATTGCGATGACATAACACTAGTTCTTTTGAAAAAACTGGATAAGTCTGAAAGCGAAAGAAAAAGATTCATCACAATGGAATTATTGCATTTCTTTTAATAACATGTCGAAATCATCACGTACATATTAGTTTATTGCAAAAGTTCTTGCCCAATTAGAAAATTAAAAATAATAACTATATGAATAAATACAAAATTGTAGCTCAATTCTCCCACAGAATTCTCCGGTCAAAAGGGACCAACACTACGTTATAGTAATTTAAACACGTATTTACTCTGTCCCCCACTAGGACGAGATGTGACACAAGGTATATTTTTAGGTGGGGACCCGAGGGCTTACACCCGGGACAGGAACAAAATTCCCTCAGCTCCCGCAACCGTCGGTTTCGCTGGCCTCGGCGCAAGCACCTATTCCTACCTCTGGTGTAATCGGAAGGCGCAGCCTCGGGCAGCTGTTCCTCAGGGCTGGGCACCTCTTCAGTATTATTTTTTCAGTTGCCCCTCCATCCTTAGCGCCCCTGAGCGCACTCTGTCCAAGGACAGAGACGCAACTGAGAGATGATAAGTAGATGTGTACCTACTCAAAAAGAGTAGATATGTACTCAACCCCCCACGACGTCAGGTTGTGACACAAGATCGGTTTAATGTGGGGAGCCCGAGCGCGTGCACCCGGGCAAGGAACAAAAATTCCCCAATCCCCCGCAACTGTGGGTTGCGCTGGCCTCAGTGTGAGCACCAATCCTTCCTTCTGGTGCAATGGGAAGGCGCGGCCTCGGGCAGCAGTTACCCAGGGCCAGGCACCTCTCAGTATAATTTTCTTCAGTTGCGACTCTGTCCTTTGACGGAGTCTCCCCTGAGTGCACTCTGCCCAAAGACAGAGACGCAACTGAGAGATGATAAGCAAACGTGAAATTACTCAAAAAGAGTAATTTAGACGCTAAACACTAAAGGCTACATATATTCATTATATATTATCGACTTCTAGGCAATATCATTTTTCAGGTTTAACTAAATTGCATATTGATTTTAAAGTTATATTTCCTTAATTAACCGTTCTTCATTACAGGTCTTTCATTCGAGGATTGTTTTGATTTTCATATAAAAAATAGTTCTGTTTTGGAATATTGTTTTATATAGTGCAGAAAAGTTTTCGAAATTTGTATTTTACTTGGCCTTCAACAAGTTGGCATCTATTTGTAAAACTTTCCTTAACTATTTCAAGCCTGCCCCCACATCCGACTAATTCATTTTTTTCTGTCTTTACAGACATATTCTTTGAACAAATATATTAAACGTCCACAACCCCTTCAACATTTCATAAATAGTGAACATTAATCCCATAGAAAAACAACTGTTTTTTTCCTAGAAAAATCATCAGGTTATGTTTTTCATTCATGCAATTATATGCATTTTATTTCTGTCAACAACTGCTAGCTGTTATTCAGTTTCACGATGTTTAATTTGTTTAAAAACAGCTAGAATTCTAATGTTTAGCTATCTGAGTAAATACAAATGTTTTCAACCAATTTATTAATGAAATGTTCATTTAAAATTTTTGGTTTCAAAGATTTCAAGTAGTAAATATATCTTACTTTGCAAAGTGATAGCGAGCGGGCGAAGCCTGCTAGTTTTAGATAATAAAAAAACAATTATTAGTCAAGTATATTGTCGCCATTGTTTTTAAAAACTCCGTCTAATGGTTCTACAAGTTTGTTGATATAGCATCAATAATTTTGTTAAGACAATTTGTTTCTTTTTGTTGGAAAAAGGTCGTCTGGCAGTTTTTGACTAATTGTAAAGTATCAAATACTTCTTTTTTTTTCATTTCAGTTATTCTGTAGAGACCGGAACAAAAGAAAATATGAAGGAACCAAGTCTGGGGAATACAGTAGATAGCGGAGTGTTTCCCATTTCAACTCTCTAAGCTTCTGCAAGATCTGTATTGCAATACGCAGTCTTGCAATGTCGTGGTGAAAAATGGCACCTTTTTCGATTTGTTAAACTCAGATTTTTTTATCTTAAACAAATGTCTCTTCAAATGACGAATGGAAGTTGAGATATCAATTTTTAATTTTCCAACTTCTCACTAAACTTTTCTGTCGAAATCTTCGGTTTATTTTCCACGATGACTAGCTTAGCGTTTACATCGCTTCGGAAGGTTGATGCTTTTAATTAAAATCGGCCTGACGAAAATTTGCCGAAACATTTTTTACCTTCCGAAAAGCTTAAAAAAATTCTGAATGTTTCTTTTTTTTAGTCTCGATTGTATTACATCTCTGACCGCAGACAATTTTTACGGAGTGGTGCAATGACACTCACTCTGGTGTTTTCCCCCTTTGGGTGACAGTTTATCATAAACCGAGGAAATAAAAACAAATTGATTTGTCAATTCTATGAAGCTATAAGAATAGAAAAATTGTTAAAAATACAAAGAAATGTTAAAATCTAAATTCAAAACTTAATCGTTTAACTGCTTAATGTGAATTACGCTCAGTCTTGCTGAGGTATATTTTGTTATAGTGAAAGAGCATTCTTTTTGAACGACCCCAGTTCATATCAAAGGAAAATATTTTTTTTCCAAAATATCTTATATATTTATTACTAGCTTAAACGCCGCCCGATAATTTGGCCTTGAGCACAATAGGTAGTGATGAGTAGATGTGAAAGGCAACAATAAACTATAGAAGGACTCAAAATTGATCGCTACATTTAAATATTACATTAATATTTAAGCTTACCTTTTGAAAGTTCAACGATAATTCCTGTCGCCATTTAATTTAAAGACAGTTTTATGTTCGTAGCTCCTTATTTTCCCTAGAAACAATTATTTTATATTTCATGGTTGACTTTCACTTGTCTTGCTGATTTTTTCTTGCGAAAGAGCGTTGTTTTTGAACGAAGTCAGTTCATATCAAAGGAAAAGTTTTCCGAAATATCTTATATATTTATTATGTATAGACATATATACATACCTGAAGTACAGACCAAAAAGCAGAGCTTGATAGATAGATAGATAGATAGATAGATAGATAGATAGATAGATAGATAGATAATGAACAAACTGGGTAAGATAGATAGATAGATAGATAGATAGATAGATAATGAACAAACTTGGTAAGATAGATAGATAGATAGATAGATAGATAGATAGATAGATAGATAGATTTAATTTGCATAATATGCTCGAAAGGACGAAATTCATATCAGCAAAAATTCGCTTTCTTGCCAAACGCATTCCCAAAAAATGATTCGTTTACGTTCGAGAAAAGGTGTTTTTTTTTTGTTTGAAAAGATTCTGTTTTTTTTTACTTCATGTCATAGTACATTTATCTTTTTTATCAAAGAATTGATTACTTCTCCACGAACTTTCGAGTATTAGAATTATTTGCTAATAGTTATATAAGATATTATAACTTACCTTGATAGGTGAGGCAAATCAGTGGATCCTCCCTGGTGTAAGTCCACTCACAAAGTGTTCCCATGCAAATACAGTTGTTTTCTTTTTAATATAACATTACCAGTGTTCTATATTCGTCTGCATGTGTTTAAATAGCACCCAGCATTCCTTCTTCGTACTCATCGAAGCGAAAATAACTGTAGAAAAGAATTATCTCAAGAAAAAGTTATATAATACACTTTCTTGCTTGCTTTTCTTCGTTTTAAACATTTTATCATACTTAAAAGTTAATTTTACTTAATTTTAAAAGAAAAAAAAACATAAACTATAGATAAATACAGCACAGACCAAAAAAGCATACCTAGGTAACTTAATAGATAGATAGATAGATAGATAGATAGATAGATTACCTTCGTCGCCAGCTTTTGAGTATTAAAATTATTTGCTGATAGTTATATAAGATATTATACCTAACCTTGATAGGTGAGGCAAATCAGTGGTTCCTCTCTATTGTAAGGCCACTCACAAAGTGTTGCCTCACAGATACATTTGCTTTCTTATTAAGATGTAAAATTTCCAGTGTCCTTTATTTGTGTGCATGTGTTTAAATAGCATCCAACATTCATTCTTCATAGTCGACGTAGCGGAAATAACTGTAGAAAAGAATTATGTCGAGGAAAAGTTAAGTAATATATGTGCTTGCTTTCTTTTCTTCGTTTTAAACATTTTATCATACTTAAATTAAAGTTAATTTTACTTAATTTTAAAAGCATAAAAAACATAACTTATTAAGGTTTTTCCTTAAAGTAATTCGCCCCAAGGAATGCGAAAGTGACACTAATACACAAAGGGTTACAGAGGCTTGAGAACAAGAGTAATGAAGTGTGTTTGAGGAAAGGATACAAAGAAGGACGGGGAACAAGATCAGGTTATCAGAAGATGTCGATTGTCATTACACTTGAATATTTGAAGATTATAGTTA